TTTCTTTTCTTGGTCTTGCATCATATTGTCGGAAGTTCGTGGCCCAATTTTCTATTGTTGCTCGCCCGCTGTCTAAGCTAACAAGCAAGAACACATCTTACACGTGGGATGCAACATGTGAGACCACTTTTCGAGCCTTGAAAGAGGCCTTGGTAAGTTATCCTATGCTCCGCATTGTAGACTTCCAACTCACATCCGTAGTTACTACGGATGTGAGCCAGTATGGGATTGAAGCAGTGCTGGAAGAAAATGTCGGTGATGGCTTATGGTCGCTCGAGTACTACAGCAAATGAATGCCCATCGAAAAGGTAGTTACTTCCAAAATCATTTCTAAACCTAAACTAGGACGGACACGTGGCATGTTAACATAAATTCGAGTTGCTTACAGATTACCCAATTATAAATGTTGAGGGACGCTGAACCCGATTTCCAACAGGTGTTGCTCCCCACCAATAGATGGAGCCTCCCCGAGCATGTTAGTGGTGTCTGCTCTTATCAACACCCCTAGCATTCACTCGGGTTGTTTTCTCCAAAAAGATTAAAGAAAAAAAAAAAAAAAAAAAAAAAAGGCACAATGTACCTCCTGTATAAGAATGCATGTACATAACACCACCAATGGTACTTGCCAAAGCTCCCAGTGAACATGCGCGAGGCACTAAACCATTGGAAGCACTATCTTTCGTGATGTCGTTTCAAGGTCTTCTCATATCATGAGACCTTGAAATGGATCAAGGAGCAAACTACCTTGTCCCCTACGTTGACTCGTTGATTCCATGAGATTGACATTTTTGACTTTGAGTTAAAACACAAAAAATGTTGTTCTAATTGAGTTGCTGATGCATTGTCTCGCCACCCCAAGTATATGACTTGCATTGTGAACTCCTACAACCTCCGGAAGAAACTGAAGGAGGAGCTTGTGGAGCAAACTGCCAAGGACCATTCCCTTAGTCCAATCCTTAAGCAGTTGCGGGCTGACCCCAACAGTCAGCCTGATTTTCACGAATGCGAAGGACTGGCTTTCCGACGCTATGGAAAAAATGAAAGTTTATGTGTACCCAACGATGAGCCTCTCCGCACACATTTCTTGGATTTGGCTCACAGTCTAAGTGGACACTTCGACATTGCAAAAACCTATAGAAACCCGTTTGCAACAATTTGACTGGCCTAGATCTTCTGTAAAGTTTCTGGTTGAGTGTCAAGTTTGTCAACGAATCAAACCATCGAGGCAAAAGACGATGGGGTTGCTGAAATCCCTTCCCATTCCCAACGGTCCCGGAGAAACCATCTCCATCGACCTCACAGACATGGGAAAGACACGTAAGAATGAGTATTCGCAAGTGATGGTGATTGTTGACCGTTTTTTAAAGTTTCTGAATCTGATTCCCTTGCTACCTCATGCCCCAACGAAACTCGTGATCCAAAAATTCCACCAAAAGTAGATTCTGCAGTTCGGGACCCCGAAAACCCTTGTGAGTGACCGGGACCCACACTTCATAAGTGTTGATTGGAAGGACTTCACGACCCAACTCCTTGGCCTCAAACTAAGTATGATGTCCGGCTGACATCCTGAAGCCAAAGGTTTGGCTGAGAAAATTAACCATACTGTGTTTCAGCTTCTTCGGGCCTTAATTATCCCGGATCAGGAAACATGGGATGAAGAGTTGTATTCCGTTAAGCGGTTGTACAACAACTCCATTCATTCGTCCACCGACATGACACCTAACAGGCTGCATTACGATTGGCAGATCCGTAATCCGCTCTCCTACTTCTTCCCTGAACCACCAGTCGGTTTGACACATGGCAGGCCTGGCTTCAGCGCCAAGTATGACCACTTGCTCAAAGTTGCCATTCCAGCAATGACCAATCGACAACACGCTATGATCCATCATGCGAATAAGAAGAGCACACCATCGACAATCGAAGTGGGAAGTTATATTATTCAAAATGTCAAAATTTTCGAAGGACGAGGGGGTGTCACACAAACTTCTCCCTCTTTATTATGGTTCGTAGGAAGTCTTGGATGTGATTGGTGATGATAAGTTTGGTCCTTCATACGCAATTGTCGTGCCTCCTCATCTGCGCACGTACCCAGTCTTTCACGCATCAAAGTTGTTTATATATCGAGATGTTAAATCCTGTGAATATCATGAGAATATGATCCCTCGTACAATTAATGGCGGTAATTAGAAATCACATGGCGTAGGGACATAACAAACAATATTAGGTCCATTTCATGTACCACCTGTTGGATGACCTCTGATGGATCTCTAAAAAGGAACTGCTGCGCAGCGCACCTCGCGTTGTGAAAGCATACGAACGGCACATAGCTTCCTATGCTATTCCCAAAATCTCCCCAAAACTCACTGCTACTCAGTACTCACGGAATCTCTTCGCTATGTGCGCTTACGATGCGTTTGTTGGGGACTTAGAATGAGTTAATCACTCAAAGGGACCTTACTCTTGAGAGGGGGGTAGTGTTAAGACCTGCCAAACACGGACTGAGACACGCTGAGTTTTCTAAGTCTGAGTGTGTGCGCGCTTGCTGGTCTGCGTGCCTGTCTGAGTGCTCGTCGGTTTGACTGTGTGTGTGACCCCCGAGGGTACTTGTCCGTTCGGAAGGCCCAAAGGGCCGGTACTTACCTGTGGCCGTGACATTGAGGGGTGCAGCGAGAAAAACACAAGTGGCGGGGRAAGAGGCCCGCGACACTTGGAGCAGCGGAAAAACACTCTAGTAGCAGGTAGGCCGGTACCACACCAGGAAGAGGTAGATGTGCCCGGTACTCGAGGCCGAGTAGAAGAAGACAAAGTTGGCATTTTTAGAGGCCCAGTAGTTGTAGGCTAGGTCTGGGTAGGTACCAGTCGCACCAGTCTGAGTCTAGGGCCTGTACGGTCAATATCAGAGTCTGCAATGATGTTTCCCCCCGAATGGGAGAAGGTACCGGTTGCTTGGAGGCTGTGCCGCCTAGGAAGTCACTTGCCGAGAGGCAAGCAGGCCGCTATATCTCCAGGAGGAGCGAAGAGCTCCTCATCATTCTCGGTGTGCAAGTTGAGCGCTGAAAAGTTACTTTTCTCATCAAGTAATTCGAAGCTCTCCTGCCACGCACACACTGAGAGTCGGATGCGTAACAGCAATCTGAACAGTTGGGACCTGTCTAAACTCGGCCCATTAGGACGGGCGGTCGAACAGAGGGACGGTCGTCTCGGACGGGCTCGTCTGACCCCATTTTGGCGTGGTAGGGGGGCAAAGGGTGGGGTTAAGAGGCGCGGGGGGTGCCATACTGGTAGAGGGGTGTCTGCTCTTATCAGCACCTCCCTACACCCCGTCGTAGATGTTCGATAAAAAAAAAAAAAAAAAAAAAAGAATTCAAATTTTCGTTCAAAAGAAACATTGATTGATTGATTGACTGGTTTGACATCGATCCGATCGCATCGACCTATCGGGTCAATCCGTTCGGATCGATCAATGAGAGAGGGCTGTATCAGTCAATCACTCAATCAATCGATCAATATGATTGATTCATTGATCATCCAAAAAAAAAAAAAAAAAAAAAAGAAGAAAAGGCAAACGACAAAACTTTCCAACCATTTTTTTCTTTTTGCCTAGGACATCCCCCCCCCCCCAAAAAAAAAAAAAAAATCTATTTCATTTTTTTGGGGGTTTAGGGGGTGCCCCGAACACCTGCACCCCGCTCCAGCAAAATATTTCCATAGGGGGCCTGTTCAGGCCCCAAAAAACGTTCGGACACGACCGTTCGGACGGCCTGTTCGAAGGTGCACGGGTCTGTCTGGATGGCCGAGCCGTCCGTACAGATGGCCCGGTTGCATACGCTGGTACACACAGGTTAGGACAACTGGACTGGCAAGATACACCACATACCTTGAGCCCAGAGCGTCACTGGGGCCAGGCTATGTGGGAAAAAGTCCGAAAAACAATGGGGAGGAGGTTGAGGTTGATGTGTGGCCCATTCACCGGAGTTAATATATCAATATACTAATATGGAAATTAATATTAATAGAAAATTAGAAATTGAATATACTCATATTTTAAGGCAAAACACAAAGGACCCTGGAGCCGATCTCCAGCAGGTGAAGCTCCCCACCAATAGATGGAGCGGCCACCTGCAGGCTGCTAGGTAGGGCTGCTCTTATCACCTCCCCTAGCGGATCTGCACAGGCTCCCTTTTTTTTTTTTTTTTTTTTTTTTTTTTTTTTGAAGTCTAAACACGAGCCCGTAGTGACCACAACATCACTCAGAATCAGAAAACAATGAGAACAAATACTACAGTAAGTTATTACTACGTAGTACTTATATAAGTTGTGTCACCCGGCTGGACCCCCCCCCGACCGTCCGGAGTTGTCCGGTCGGACAATCGGTTGGACGTCCTCCCGGGGTAGTCTGTCCGAGCCTGAACGACATTTGAAAAAAAAAAAAAAACAAAGTATGTTATGCAGAAAAGTAAACTGGACAAAAGTTTGCCTTCGGGTTACATCGAAATTCGTTATCAAAATTGAAATAAAATTAAAATTAAAGACACGCCCATTTTTCTTTTCTTTTTTTCGTGCTTTAAACTGCTGAAAATGAAGTTGTCCGGGCCCGGACGTCCGGGACCCCCCTGACTGTCCGGCCCCGACGTCCTGCCATCGGACAACTGGTAACCTACCTTATAACTTCACCTTCTTCTTATTTTCATAAGTTCTTAGTACTTACTACTTCTTACGTTCTAAGGTTTATTCTGTTCATGTACACAGATACCGCTACGTTTCTTGTCCACTGCACCTTCGATTTTGAGATTAAGATTCCACACTCATCATTCGGACAGCGGACCAGGCATGCCCACCAGGACTACACGCTTAAAACTTAAAAGGTCAAAAAGTGATGTGGCTCATTGAGTTCATTCTGGACTTTCTCTGTCAACCTGTGTCGTTCAGGACATGATGATGCATTTTAAAGGCAAAAGCATCTCAGCCAGTACGCTCCGGCCAAAAGCTTCTTGACTAATCTAGCAAAATTCTTTTGATTCTACCTCTTTCTGTAGCAGTCCAACACATATGTTATTTAAACCACAGGTGAACCTGTTTGGCCAACAACTGCCACATCATTTGGATCAGGTTCAAACTTTAAACCTGTTCGTTCGGCGGTCTGTATATCATTTGCACCAGGTTTGAACTTTGAACCTGTTTGGGCTGCAGCTGATCCTTGTGTTGCAGAATTCACTCCAAAAGTCTGAACCACTCTCTGATAGTATGAGCTCTTCATGAGCTGGTAGGAACCAACCCCTTGCAGTTGCTTGAAATTAGACCATACAATATTTCATCTAGCAAAACTGGATGCATGCAGGCGGTCCTGGTCATGCTGCAACTATCTTCACTGCATCGGAAACACACAGTCAGTCTTTATCAGGCGTCAAAATTTTCACAGAAGCATTGTGAAGATAACTACAGTAAAAAAACTACTTACGCTTGATTCAGCTAAGTTCGCATGAAAATGGCAGCAGTACAGCAGACCCAGACTCAGAAGGAACTGGCTGGTGTTTACCCGCACTTCATTTTCAATTCGCTGCCACTATTTTATTTTTATTTTTATTTTTGTTTTTGGACTTCCAATCCTCGTGTGAAGTAAGCAGTTATTCACAGAGGACTGCAGAAGCCGTATTCTGCCGCGGAAGCATCCATTGATCAGCCGGTCAGCAACCCATCCACCAATCGACCAATCCATCAGCCAGCCGGAATTTGGCGATCATTATTGAGTGGCAACAACTGCTGGGGCAGCAGTGGTCGCTGGCAGAAGCTTTTTCAGTAGTGACTCCGAATAGCCAGGTGAGTAGTACTTAACAATCTCATCAGGGTAACAGCTATTGATTGCATCCACATGTTCACGGAGCTTTGTTCCTGGAGCTGCCTGAAGCTGCTGCACCTTGGCGAACCCTCCGGATGTTACGAATGAGTGTCGAGACTCTGAATCATTCGGTAGAACCTTGGCGATCTGGTGAAGCACATACTTAATGACGCTCTCCGGTGCACGAGGTTCCTTCACATCCAGCCAAACAGGCAAGGGACATAAGTAAACAAGAGTAGATTGGGGAAGCAGAGTACATGCAATCGGGGAGGCAGCAGAGGGAGGCAGCAGAGGGAGGCAGTGAGGGAGAGAGGCAGCAACAATGAGGGAAGCAAACAGCAACGGAAGGAGGACGGCAAGGAATGAGGAAGGGAAGGGGAAAGGGAGGGAGGGAGGGAAGGAGGGGAGGGGGAAGGAAGGATGGAAGGAGGGAAGGAAGGGAAGGAGAGAGGGAGGGGATGGCGAAGCGAAGGAAAGGGGCAGGGATGGAAGGAACAGAGGGAAGGAACGGAGGGAAGGAATGTAGGGAAGGAACGGAGGGAAGGAATGGAGGGAAGAACGGACGAAGGGAGGGAGGGAAGGAGGAAGGGAGGGAAGTTGGGAGAGAGGGGAAGAAGGAGGAAGGGAGGGAAGGAAAGGGGGAAAGGAAGGAGGAAGGAGGGAAGGAGGCAGGGAGAGAAGGCAAACATGGTTGGAGGCAGGGAGGGAGGGAGACAGTAAGGGAGGCAGTGAAGGAGCAGAGAGTGACGGAAGGGGAATAACAAGGAACGAGGAAGGAAGCAGGGAGGAAGGGAGGGGAAGAGGAGGTAGGGAGGGAAGGAAGGAGGGAGGGAGGAAGAGGAAGAGAGGAGGGAACAAAGAAGGAAGCAAATCAAGAGAGCGAGGATACCGAGGTGGGTAGACAGGGAAGGAGGGAAGTGAGAAGGCGAGGGAAGGAAGGAATAGATGATCAGGCAGGCAAGCTTGAAGGCATAGAGGGAGGGAGGGAGGGAGCAAGAGAGAAAGGAGAGAGGAAGTGCTGCATGCCTGGTGATGATCCAATGCAATGTAAAATCCAAAGATCACCAACATGACGAAGAGATTTAGTGTGACACAGCGAAAGACTCGAATCGCATAGGACGCGACAGACAATGCAGCAAAATGACAACGTGACTCAGATTTGATCTCAGACCAGCGGGGGAGGGATCCAAACATTTAAGAACCTCCCTGCTGTAATCATAGACGGACAAACTGCAAGGTGGGAGATGGAAGAAGGTAGTATGAAGAAGTACACGAAAAAGAAGAACAAATGTATGGCAGTGCCAAATAATATTACTCTCTCCTCCACCTCCTCTCCTTACCTCCCGTACGTCCCAAACAATGAATCTCAGACCTGAAGTCAGGGAGCCTGGCTCCCAATGTACCAATGTCAGGTATCCACTCTCTTTCTCTCTCTCTCTCTCTCTCTCTCTCTCTCTCTCTCTCTCTCTCTCTCTCTCTCTCTCTCTCTCTCTCTCTC